TTCCTAGTTTTCGTCCTTGTCCCAACCAATGTAAGCCAGAAGCACCCGATTCCGTGATCAGACCCGTTGAAAACTGATCGTTCTGGCAGCGCCTGATGTCATATTCTGTTATATGGTGCTAAGTCTACTGTCTGTTAGGTTATATGAGGACATTAAGTATGATAGTATCATCAGCACTTGAAACCGTTTTGGCCAGGGACCTGGGCCAAAGTGCTTTCCACCGTGGCGCTGCCCTGGACAGCATGCAGTGTTGCAATTCATAGAAGAGTTCCTTATACATTCACATAATGGTAGCAAGAACAATAATAAGTACCCAAAAAAAACAAGTAATAAAAGGTTATTGGTAAAACTGAAAATAATAGTAGCAATCATAGTAGTACTCTATACTAGCAAGAATAGCAATAGTAAGTAACTCCGCCGCAACCACCACGATCACAGATCTCACCCAACAGCGGTTAAAAGACCTACCGCGGCAACAACAACATCAGGGAAACACCAATAACAACAGCAGAAGCAACCGCGTCAATAGTGAGGGCGCAACCACGGATTATCTAAGACTGAGAAGAACAATGCTGCGTAGACTTAGTCATACAGTGAAAGACATGATGCTTAAGAAGATCACATTATACACACAAGCAAGTAACCACACAACTACTACGAACTAACAACCGTTCCTTGTGGTACGAAGCATCTGCCGTGTTAAACCAGATTGCATATTGACGCAACCATCGCAAACCACCTACTCAGTGTAGTTCCATTGAAATGCGAAGTGGGGCTCTGCAATGCCCGTGAAAGTGTAAGAGCAGCACACACTTGTACAACCCACCATCGCATGACATTGCCGGCCATCATCGTGGAGATCCTTTTGCTCGCAACATTGATGATACTGCTGCATGCAAGGTTTGTGTCCGAACGTAGAGCAGCAACAGTAATCACAGTGACACGACATGCATGTCGTGCTTATATGCAGTACCAGCACATACTGCGCGACAGCTTCAAGTAATGGTATGTCGTGATGATGAGCACGGTCTCAAGGCCGTTTCGACAACAAGTGTTGCAAAACACACGCTGAATCTGTGAAATCTCTGTTACAGCTTAATTACACATTTTGGGGCAGGAAGGAAAAACGCAGCAACCATCAAAAACATCCTAAACTAGTGACTGGTAGTCACTGGACCAGCTGCTGTCACGAAAATACTTGCCGGATCATACAGCGAGGGGATTTCCAAAACACCGGGGACCGTAATATAATACCACCAGTATGCTCTTCATTATAAGGACCCCTAACTCTGAACTCCCCCCTTTCTTATTCCGCCACATGCGAAATGCAACTGGAACTTCTTCCGAGTCTGAAAGGAACTAAACCCGATTGAAGTGTCGTTGACGTGCAGGCCTTGGGGCTTCTAGGGCTCTGCATTAAAGGAAACTACAGGTGGGGAGTTTAGGGTATATAGGGCTTCTATAAGGCTTCTGTAAGGTATATAGTATATAGAATAGCTTTCCCACCTAGACCCCTGTTGAAGGGCAGTGGTCACAAATTGATACGGTCTCAAACTCCATGTTAGTTGCGATTTAACGTGTGCTAAACCCTATTTAAACATCAATCCTGGGCCCTTCTGAATGTATCAGTCGATTCTCGCTAAACCCTTCTAAAAAATCAAACCTAGGTCCTGCTCAATGTATCAATCGATTCTCTGTTCCTACTAGTGAGCCTGCGCCGCACAGCCCGCACCCCGAGATGCGAGGGGAAGCCGCGGCCCGAGCCAAGCAGCCTAAGCGGGATGTTGGCCTAAGGCTCTCGGGCTGTATCTGTTTGGGTTCCACCTAAGATAGCTTGCCTGCAGAGCTAAGGTGTGTTGGTTTTCGGGGGTTCAGAAGTCTTGCGGGTATGGCTCCGGTTGCTAGTTTAATTAATAGGATCTCCAGCAGCCTAGGAAATACACGAGGGCTTTTCTTTTTTGGTATTGCAACAGGAACCTCGGACGACACGCAAGGAAAAGAGGCCACTTTGAGACCTCGTTGATGTCTCTGGTGTACCCTCTCTTTCCCGCATAGAGCTCGGGAGCCTCTTCCTCTGATGACATGGTGACACCTTCCTGCAACCCTAAGAGTCCAAGAAGTCCTTATCTACTTTCGGCATCCAAAAAGGACCCGACGTCCGAGAGGAAGGAGTGCTCGGACCCTTAGATTAGGGTCAGGTGAACTGGGGAAGAAACTGCCCTCTAAACCCCCCTCCAGAACCCGAAGCTCGACATCCTAAAACCCTCATAGAACTCACATGGTGTGCTTATGGGGCAATTGTAACACCCTTGTGGAATCCGACAATTTCGGAAGCTCCGGCTTCTCCGATCTTCAGCCCCAAACGCAAAACCCTTAAGCACCCAAACACTGGAAAGGGTTTAGGGTTTAGGGTTTAGGGTTTTTAGGCTTCACAGGGCTTCTAGGGCTTATAGGGTTGAGGCCATGGTTCTAGGGAGCCCCGGAAAGTTGGAACGTGGTCTTAGCATGATCAGTGCTAGGATTCCTTCTGCTTTACCTTGAAAGGCATGAGGAAATTTAATGTTCAAACTTTATGGCAAATGTTATGGCGTCTACTGTAAACCGTCCAACCCTAAACCCTTAACCCTCACCCCTTCCGGGCCCTATCAGAGTCCTCAAAAGTCCTGAAGCCCTAAGCCCTAAGCCATCCTATACCCTAAGCATGAGTCCTCAAAAGTCCTTAAAGGGCCCCTTTTACCAGGTACTGTGGGGTTCTATGACAGGGTTCCCTTTAAGGCTCCAGGGCTCCCTGAAAGGGACCCCTATTCTAGAACCTCATAGTCATAGCACCCTTAAAGCCCTTGAAGGTGCCCTGCACTAAGCCCCGGGCTCCGAATTGCAAGGCCGCCAGGAGCAGCAATCCCTCAGAGGGTTCGATAAGGGATCTCATGAGGTTTTAAAGTAAACAAAAAAACATGGGCAAGTAGGGTCAGGTGGCTGTACCTATAGATATACTTATAACCCCAGTTCAGGCACGTATAACTTATAACCGGACTTACTAAGTCCCATGATACTCCAACTAGGGTTTAGGGTTCCTTTAGAAAAGAAAGGATTCCTAAAATAGGGGCCCGTATAATACGGGATCTTAAGGGGGGTCGGAGTTCCTTTAACAAGGGGTTCTTCTAGAGCTGCTCTCAGAGCAGAGTGGAGTGAAGGGTTTTTTGTTCACAGTACTCCTTTCAGGCTTACAATGTCGGAATGCAGGGCTTCTAGGGTTTAGGGTTTAGTATGTGGGGCTTGTAAGCTTTGGGGTTCATGGGATGTATGCTTTGGGAGAGAGGGACTGCTGGTAAGATTGGGTATACTCTCCGGTCTTGACAAGACTGCTAGCCCTCATGGTGGGCAGCAAGAGTAATTAGCTTCATGGCCCTCTGGATGAGCTTGATTGATCCAGGCCCCCTTACCGTCTATAATCTACCATCGTGACTCGTAATCAACCGACAGCCGAGACTTTCAGTACTGTTGTTTTACAAGCAATGCGAGCTTTTCCTCCCCCGACTATTGTGCCTGATTCCACTGATAGAGGACTGACTTTTTTCCTGCCGAGCTTGACGGTCAGCAGCTCGGGATTCGCGGGAAGCGAAGCGGACATTATCTGGGCTGTCGCTCCACGGACCAGAAGAAGCCAATCGCGGCTTGGCTGTGTGCTGTGGCATAGCTCATCCTTTCAAGCCCTAAACTCTTCCCTTAAACCCTAAGCCTCAAAACCCTAAACTTCTAAACCATGAAGGGTCTGCGATCAGGTCAGTCTACTGGTCTGTGCACTATTGAAGTACATTACTTCCCCTACGCGTGCCACCAGGACGGGTGCAGCTGTGTACTATGTATATACATGTCAAAAACAAATCTATACTGGCATGTGCGTATGCTCGCTCTTTCTCTTGTATAAGATCGTGTCAAAAGGCGCACGCACACGCACGTGCACAGACACACACACACACACACAGAGTCGCCGCATGTGTGTCTGCTTATCCCGTTATGTCTTCTGTCTCTCTCTCTCTCTATATATATATATAGACATAATTTAAATCTCTGTATATATGTATATATACATATATATATATATCTATATCTATATCTATTCAGACACCCCGAACATTTGCTACCACCCTGGTCTCTAGCCGGCTGGCCGACAGCCTGTCATTGTACCCTACAGATGAATGCATGCAAGCGGACACAGAACAACATGGATGCATGCAAGCATGCATGCAGGCATACATGCTCATACACATGTACATGAAGAGGGCGTGTCTAGATATGTACACCATGCACTTTGATTAACTGCAGCTAACATAATTTGCATAATTTTTTACATACCCTACAGACATGCCTCATGCATGTCGTGTGTGCGTCCGTGCCTACATACATTGTGCATCGAGGCCAAAGCATGGTCGCCGAACCATACCATGCAGTATACTTCGTCGCTTGAGCTTAGATGATGGCGTATGTTCAAGGCTTGTGTTTTGCACTCTGGGGTTTAGGGACTTGTACTTTCTTTCAGAGGTTGCTACTTTTCGACTGAAAAGGCGGAAAGCCTGCTAGTAAAGCATCGCCAACCAGGAAAATACGGTAAAGTCTGCGGAGGATCGCAAAAGGTCTTTGCTCAATGGAGAGGACAACCCATTCTCATGCACTGCACTGCACTGCACGGTGCGTAGGCATACACCAATTATTTCCTCTTGTCTGCGGCCTGCGGCTAGCTAAAAAACAACTGAGGACATACTGCCTCCCTGCGGACTCAAAGTTGTCCAGGCATGAGAATTCCGAACCCTAAACACCTAAAGGCCTAATCCCGATTTCTCGTCCTCAACCCAAAGTCATAAACAGACTGGTGTCCAAAAAATGTCCCTCTTTGGGTCCATGCTGCCATAGACTGCCCGTTATATCTGACAGCGACCCTACTCCCTGAACTCATGGATGTCAGGACTAAGTCAGGGCTCAACCTTCTGAGTCTGCGTCACTGGTTCCAGCGTCACTGGCTCCAGAATCATCTTCGGTGCCGTTCTTGCAGCGGCATGTCGCTTCTTCCACTCACGACGTGCTTGGATTTTTGCGTCCAGCTTGCTCATGTACCTTGCTTTCATTGGGTGTTTAGGGCTTCGGGCTTTTCATTGAACAGTCAGTCCCTTGTCGTCGTCAAACTTGGAGAGAAGAATATCACTTCCTGAAATAGATGCCACACTACGTCCGCCACTATGCCACTATGCACAACATCGGCTTCAGAATCAACAGCATGATCACAAAAGGCAAGATCATCATGGCATTCATCGAAACGCTGACCTCCACCACTGACATGTTTGCAACCATCACCATCATCACAGAAATCCTGCTGCTCGCCAAGCTGATCATCATCATCATCATCAGCATCATCACCATCATCATCATCATCAGCTTCATCGTCATCATCATCATCATCATCGGCTTCGGGCTTCAGGACAAAGGCTTCGGGTCACCATCAGCACCACCCCTTTCCCAGCTAGCCACAGAATTTGCAGCCTCCACACCCCTGAGATTCCCCAGCTGGAACTGCGATACGATACAGTAGCCTTGACAATTCGATCAGGCTTCCGGATTTTTTCCTTCCATGTAAAAAAACCTATGATACCAGTACGGAACCTCGAAGGCAGTCCTAACACTTACTAAAGCCCGCCTACTTAGCCTTTCCTCTTGCTTCGGTAGCCGTCCGACTGCTTGCTGGCAGGTTCATTGGTACTCTGCAGCTCTCCGAGGCTCACGGGTTTACGGTTTCGGGCCTAAGGCTGTGGGTGTTAGGAATTATAGGGTTTAGGTTTTAGAGAGTTTCGAGTTACCAATAGCAAGGTACTTCCATCCCTCAATCCCGATGTTAAGCACTCCCGGCACCTCATGAAAGCTGGAGCCTAGGCCTGACCTGACCCGAAGGGTCCATGTACTTATATAGTATATACATTGGCCTTAAAGTAGTCCCTATATAGGTACATTGGGGCCAAAGTATATAGTATTTGGGTACATGGACCCTTAGGGTGATGCAACTTCAACCCCGAAACAGCGCCACCCCCAACCCTTAGGACCCTTATGGCATCCCTGATAGTAACCCTTTCCGACCCTGCAAGGAACCCTTAAAGGCAACCCGAGTGTCTGTAGGCGCCACTTCGCCAAGGAGGCGGAATCCTCCTGGCCATCATTGTGAACAGTTGGATGTAGGCCGAACTGTACCCTGTGAGTACAGCAGGACTGACACAAAGACTGCTCAGGTCTGCAGGGTTTAGGGTTTAGAGCCCAGGGGGTTCGAGCTTTGAGCTTATAAGGCTTAAGGTTTAGGTCCCCTAGGCACTTTGGGGTTCGGGCTGCAGTTCGGGCTTTCGGAGTTTACGTCACAAAGGCCTGAGGCTCATCTTGCCATTGCTGGTAAACTGCTTTGCTGAGACATAGTAGCATCGCAACAATTTTTCCCCCTCCTCCCCAAACCCTACACAAAACACCAGAAAATCCCAGAAAACAGGGAAAGCCCAGAAACTAGAGATTGCACCGAAGCGCTCAAAACCTTGATGGGCAGAATGTAGGAGCCTTTAGCAACCAGAACAGGGCTTTGGGGGCATCGTGTCAGTAATTGCAAGAAGATTTCGCAACCCGAAGCAATGTAGTATTCGTCGTACGCAAGTAAAAGTATATTCAGGAATCCTCTGCAAAAGTCTTAGCAAGTACCCAGTCTTCTGTGTTCCCAAAGTTTGGGGACTATAGAACCCCCCAGAATAGAACCCTTATGGAGCCCGTATGCAACCCTTTAAAGGAACCCTCGATATGCCCCTACAGTAGAAGCCCAAGAGTTGGAAACACAATAGCCTCAATCCCTAACAGTAATGTATAGGGAATCCCAGCACTAAGTGTCCTTAGCCCGGTTTCCAACTTTTTGGGGTTCACTGTATGCAAAGAGGCAGGCTGCCTTCGTCTTCGCCTCCAGCATCTGCTTGCAGTCCGTCAGTTGCTCCAGGAGCTCCCCATGCTGGAGCTGAACCTGCCATGTAGTTGTTTTTGTTTAGTTTTTGTTTAAGGGGCCTTTTGCCATGTAGGGTTGAGGGTTTTAGGGTTTTAAGGTTTTAGGGTTTAGGGTTTAGGTTTTAGGGTTTAGGGTTTAGGGTGTTTTCGGGCTGCCACCAGCTTTATTCGAGTACTATAGCACTTTACCAATGTAGGATATGCTATAAGGTGTTGTGATATAAGGCGCTATAGGAAGGTACTGAATAACATCAAGGGCGGTACGGGCACTATAGTGTTTTTAGGGAGGTATTCGGATGTAAGGCTATATGGCTTTATAGGGCTTGCTGGTTTTATACGCTCACCATAAGAGGTTTATGGGGCTTTAAGTGTTTTCGCGGGTTCTACAGGGGTTTTAAGGGTGTTGTGGGTTGGGTAGGGTTTCATGCGGTTTTCATGCAGCCTTCATAGATTACAAGGGCTATAAGGGGCTCGATAAAGGGACATGCAAAACAAGGTTTGGTAGAGTTCCCTGATCGAGGCAAGGCTCCGGGTTCAGTGACGTTGCCTTTGCAGGCGAGATTCGGGCTTCGGCTGGTTTGGGGCCGATGCTACCTCACAAGTCAAGTAGAGTTTAGGGCTTAGGGACCAGGGATTAGGGTTTAAGGCTGTAGACCCAAGAGGCGTTAAGCCCAACAGAAAACACCACAATACTGGCATCCCGGAGAAAGTCTTAACTTAAACTCGTCTGTTGACAGCTTAGGGTTTAGGGGTGAAAAACCCACCAAATCTTAAAGATCCTCGGGCCCTGCAGCCCGAAACGGCTAGGATCCTACACCCCATCCGAACACCTCCTGCTAAAACCCCCCAGCCCGACTCTTCAATCTGCGAGTCCGGCAAACACACACCATTCACAACCTTTCCGGCATATTTTTGCTGTAACTAAAAGGGGACTCCCAAAACAGTATTGGTGAACTCATGGGGCCTCCCAAAGTAGTATTGGTGACTACTTAAGCCCCTCTACCGCCCTAAGGCTCTTAAGAGGCTCATGGGCTATCCGGGCTTGGGTTTGTGTTCGCGCTACAAGGCCCCAGGAGTTTCCGGGTAAACCCTAAATGGTTTAGGGTTTAGGGTTCAGGGTCTAGGGCTTTAGGGTTTTCGGGTTTAGGGCTTAAGGGTTTTAGGGTTTAGGGTTTTAGGGTTTTAGGGTTTTAAGGGTTCAGGGTTTAGGGTGCAAGCACCTAAACGCCTTAAGAACACCCCAACCTCCAAACCCTGAACTATCCCAAACCGAAACCCCCGACGGAAGAAAGCCCCAAAACCTAAACCCCCACAGTTCCCGTCTAGAAGCTATAGAGCCCTTGAAAAGAACCCTAAACACCTAAACCTTAAACCCTTTTAAAGGAACCCCAGACCCTAAACCCCAAAAAGCAACCCTAGACCCTAAACCCTTTAAAGGAACCCTAGACCCTACACCCCTTTAAAGGAACCCTAGGCCCTACACCCTTTAAAGGAACCCTAGGCCCTACACCCTGTAAAGGAACCCTAGGCCCTACACCCTTTAAAGGAACCCTACCCTAAACCCTTTAAAGGAACCCTAGGCCCTACACCCCGTTAAAGGAACCCTAGACCCTACACCCTTTAAAGGAACCCTAGGCCTACACCCTTTAAAGGAGCCCTAGGCCCTACACCCTTTAAAGGAACCCTATATCCTACACCCTTTAAAACTTTAAAGGAACCCTAGGCCCTACACCCTTTAAAGGAACCCTACCCTACACCCTTTAAAAGGAACCCAAGACGGCCTAAACCCCTAAACCCTTTAAAGGAACCCTAGACCCTAAATTTTACTACACCCTTTAAAGGAATCCCAGACCCTCAACCCCACGTCGACCTCGGAGCGCTCCGAGGCGATCTGCTGCTGCTGCTGAAAGGCGTCGGCGGCTTCGCAAGCTGCCAGGTCGGCCTCCGCCTGCCCACCCGAAAAGGAGGGATTTAGGGCTTAGGGCGTATAGGGTTTAGGGTTTAAGGGTTTGGGGATTACAGATTAAGGCTTAAGGTTTAGGGTTTAGGCTTTAGGGTTTTAGGCCTATAATAATAGGGTTTGGAAGGTCAATAATGGCTTAAGGGCTCCATAATGGTCCCTTTAAGGGTTCTACTTGGGTTATACCCGAAAGGGGGGGCAGACCAGCCCGACACAACAACCTACCCTGTCTACTTCAAGGAAAGAGGCCCGACAACCCTGCCCGGATCCGAAACCCAAAAGGAACGGTTTAGGGTTTAGGGGATTACGCATAAACAAAAAGCCAGAAAAAAAGAAGAAGAGGACTCTATAGAAACACTCATTCAATCCCCACATCAAGAGCACATACAGCCCCTACACAAGCCGAAACAGCAATCGAAAACCAACCAAGCCCCACAGGTAAAACAAAAACAATCATACAAGCCAAACCTAAACCCTAAACCCCAAAACGCAAACCAATCTAAAACCGTAGAGAAACAACACACACATTCGAAAAAAAAACAAAAAAACTGGAGCCCCCACCGGCCTTAGTCTCTGAGAGCTCCGCCAGCAACGCCGCTGTGTTTGTCTCCTGGCCTTTGAGCTCCTGGCGTGTGCTTTCAATTGTTCCCTTTTAAGGGTCTCCTTTTAAAGTTTCGGGTTTGGGGTTTGGGAGTTTTAGGGGTCCCCTTTTAGGATTTTAGGATTTGGAGGTTGGAAGTTTTAAAGGTCCCCTTTTGAATTTTAGGATTTCGAGTGTGGGAGTTTGGGGTTTTAGGGTTTTTGAGGGTCCCCTTTTAGGGTTTAGGCTTTGGGGCTTAGGGTTCTTGAGGGTCTCCTTTTAGGGCTCTTCTTTAAAGGGCTCCTTTCGAGGATCCTCTTAAGGGCCCCTTCTTATAGTCTCTTGAGGGAGCTCCCTGACTCCTTCAAAACATCCTTTCAGGGTTCAGGGGTTCAGGATTTAGGGTTTAGGCCTTATAGGGGTTAGGGTTTAGGGCGTATAGGGGTTAGGGTTTAGGGTTTAGGGCTTACAGGGGTTAGGGTTTAGGGTTTAGGGATCTTTAGGGTTTAGGGTTTAGGGGGGGTTCTACAGTTTAGGGTTGTTGGGGGTTCTACTTGGGTTAAGCAAGGATTTCGGGTTTGGGGCTAACGGGTTAAGCAGTTTAGGGGTTAGGGCTGTTGGGTTGCACCCATACACTGAAACACCGAACCTAGCAATATTTGGAGCAGACATATCATAATTGGAAAAGTGTAGGAAGATGTATTATCACTGGGTATCATGATTATTTCAAAAGACAATAAAGAAACCGTTGGCCCAAAGCAACCCTAAACTTTAAAGCAAACAGCACTCCTAAAACAAACAAGAGAAAAGACACAAAGAACGAGCTCAGATAAAAAAGCTAACAACGACGACCACATAATAAACACCTAAACGCCGAAGCAGAAACATAAAACCCTAACCCTCCAGGTACCTACTATAGTTGGCACTAGAGCCCCTAGGGCCCTATACAGTAGGTACCTGGAGGGTTGGGGAAAACGACACAACCAAGAAACCCTGTAAACCCTAAACCCTAACAGAGCGCCCGGAGCTTCTCGGATCCTCCCGGACCGCAGATATCTCCGCTTCAAAGGCTTCAGCGCGGCCCTGGAGAAAGTTCTGAGTGTCCTCCTGGGACGGAATTTTTTTGTTGTTGGCGGCTTTCGGGTTTTAGGGATCAGGGTTCAGGACCAGGAGGTTTTTTTTTGGGAGGGGGGAGGGGGGGGGTGCCGTTTGGTGGATGGGGGTTTAGGGCTTAAGGAGATGGATTCCTTCGTGCTTATCGGCTTTTTGGGGTTGGGGGTTGGCGGATTGGGGAGGGGTTCTTCTACTTAACTTAAAGGATCATGGGACTTAGTAAGTAGGGTTATAATTAAGGCAACTATATCTATATTTACTTAGAACCCCCAATTAAGGGACTTATAGCCTTACTTACTAAGTCCCATGGATCCTCCAAGTAGGGATGGATCGGAGCTTGGGGCTTTTAGGCTTTCCGGGTCTTCCGGGTCTTGGGCTCCGGTAGTCGGGAGCTCCGGAGTGCCATTAGGGTGGATCCTCTCTGGTTCTTAGTCGAGAATGGGGGAATGGGTTATTGGGACTACGAAAGGGGACCTATCATAGGATCCATTCCCCCATTCCCTACTAAGAACCAGAGAGTTGAGGGTGGATCCTGTCTGATTGGAGGTGTGAGACTTGCAGCTACAAGTACGAAGAGTCGAGCTGAGCCGGGCAGCTAGAGGAAGAGAAGTGGGGGAATGCTCATAAGGTTTCAGGGTTCAGATGACTACAGTGATATAGGGGTGGCAAACAGACCCAAAGCCAGCAACCTGCTACAGAGTCCCAAGTCTCGTGCAGCCATTCACTCCAGAGTCTTGCCGCGGATCCTCCCTTAAACCTGTCATATTGGGGCCTCAACAAGTAGCATAGGCTTTGGGGCTAGATCATAATATGTTTATATAAGGCCTGCCAGTGCATACTCTCATATTGTCTACTTATCAAGGCCTAAGCACATCGTGAATTTAAGCTCATAACTCATCTTCCATACGCCCTAAAGCTCCAACCCAATTAAAGTACTCCGAGCGGCAACTTTCTTGATCTTGTGCCGACATGCCTGGGCAGACCAGTCACCACTTTGAATCAGGGCAATCATCTCGCAGCCTAGGCTTTAGCATCAACCTAGTAGTGTCTACACTGAACTGGTGACCTTTGCAACAATTGTAATTTCAGCTGTCTCTTAGAAATCAGTATAGTAATCCAAATTAAGTCTGATTTCTAAGTACCCCTCGTAATGTATCAAACAAGAGGAACCGAGGGAACTGCTCGGCTTCTTGGTTGGCACCCTAAAACAGCCTCTTTGTAGTTGAATGAGCGAATACAGACCAACTGATAACTGCTTGGGTTTAGGGTTTAGGGTTTAGGGTTTGCGGCACCCCCATCAAGAACCTAACCTCAAGCTCTGTAAAAACCCCTAAACCCCTAAACCATAAACCCCTGAACCCCAGATTCCAGAACCCAAGGCCCCAAAGGGTCCTCCAACCACGAAGTACAGGATCCTGTACTACCCTGCATTTAGACAATCGAACTTAAACACACAACTCAAGTTACTGACAAGCACACACTCTTTACCTATCTATCTTTCTTTCAATCTCTCTATGTCTCTGTGTATGTACCTATAGAAATCTATCCGTCGACCAACCTAGCTATGTGTCTATCGACCTACCTGGCTGTCTATATGCATCCATCCAGCCATCCATCGATCCATCTATCTATCTGTCTTTGCCCCCTTTCCTCCCCCGCCAGCCCAACAACAAAACTAACACGAAAAACAACCCTAAACAAACAAGAAAACAATTCTAAACCCTAAACCCTCAACAAGAAAACAAATCTAAACCCTAAACCCCAAACAAGAAACCTCTCCTAAACCCTAAACCCCTAAACCCTAAACCCTAAATCCTAAACCCCTACACCCTAACCCCTAAACAAGAAAACACTCCTAAACCCTAAACCCTAAACCCTAAGACATGCCCACGGGCCGAGGCCGAGATGCCGCCTTCAGCTCCATGCGCTTCGTGCGCTCGTCGGCCACCTGCTGCGCCAAGGTCTCCTGGTTTAGGGTTTAGGGTTTTAGGGTTTAGGGTTTAATTAGGGTTTAGGATTTACGGTTTAGGGTTTTAGGGTTTTAGGGTTTAGGGTTGAGGGTTTAGGGTTTAGGGTTTAGGGTTTTAGGGTTTAAGGTTTAGGGTTGAGGGGTAGGATTCCACTGAAGGAGGTACTGTCAGGCAACCCCAAACTACTTCTAGCGCAAAGGAACACTGTGTTTGATAGACTCGTGGTCATCATGCACGACGAATCGTGTCGGGCAATGAACCCAGCATTAAGGGTCCAAGCACTCAAATAGTTGCTGCTTAGGCCCGCGAGCTTGAAACACATAGCTAGGACAGTTACACCCTTGGAGAAGTGTAAGAGGTGACAAGGAAAACATGAACTAAACCCTAAAAGCCCTAAATCATAAGATGCCCTGAACCCTAAGCCCGTAAACCATAAAGAGCCCTAAACCCTAAAACCTGAAACCATAAAAGCGCCCTAGACCCTAAGCCCTGAAAAGCAGAATACGGCCCTCCCCTAAACCCTAAACCCCTAAACCCTGAAACCCTAAAGCGCCCTAGGCCCTAAGCCCTGAAAAAGTCGACTGCGGCCCGCCTGGAGGGCGTGCTCGGCCTCGGTCCTCTGACGGCAGGCCTCCATTTCATGCAGAAGCAGCACCTCCTCCTCCCGAAGCAGCTCGACACCTGCTGCAATATTTTTTGGAGGGTTTAGGATTTAGGATTTAGGCTTTAGGGGTATTTTTTGAAGGGTTTAGGATTTAGGCTTTAGGGTTTAGGGCTACTGCATGGAAGACTATAAGGGATACGATAAGCTTTTCCATGAGGTTTTCTGGGGGTTGGGGTATGGGGTTTGGTGTTGAGGGCTTTTTTAGGAGGCTAAGGGTTTGGGCTAAGGGGTTTAGGGTTCAGGGCCCCTCAAGGGATTATAGACGAATAGGTACCTCTATAAGACGAACTTGAAAAGCTTCTCCAACGTGCAAACTAGGTGCGCTCCCTGTGCTCCTTGATTTCTCCTTGGTTGGGCAGCTGACAGAAAGCAACGACCCCAATGCCAGGCTTTATGAGCAAGGGTCTATTGGTGCATTGGGATTTCAGGTTTTCAGGCAAGCAAATATCGAATCGCAGGACACCAGCGTACTTCAACCCTAAATCCTAGGCACTGCACCTTAATCCCGAATGTTCAAACTCGAAACCCGATTAACCCAACCTCCAACATCCACCTTTCCACAAACACCAACACGACAAACCCTGAGCCCTACCCCCGCCCCCCACCCCACATCAATGCTGAAGCCTAGCCCTAACTAAACACTAATTCCTAAACCCTATCCTAGACCCTAAACCCTATAAGGCCTACACTCTACGCCCTGCCACCGAGTTGCCATGCTTGGCTTCAACCTGATGTCTTAGCTTCTCCAGACTGCGACGAAGGCCTAAGATGTCCTTCTCCTCCTGCACCTCGGTTCCCCTCTTCTACAGGGTTTAGGGCTTAGGGTTTAGGGATTACGGGGCTTTAGAAGGGTCTTGTATGGTTCTGTTTGGTGTTAAGGGTCATGGAATTTAAGGAGGGCTATGCAGGGCTTCGTAGGGTTTGGGATGGTTTTCGCCGGGCTTTGAGGTTTCTTGAAAGGGTTTCTATAAGGGTTCCTTTCTGAAAAGGTATACTACAAGGGTACGATGTGGATTTAGTGTAAGTGCCTCTATAAGTCCGTCGCTTTACTACAGTTTACTATGGTAGAATTATTTCAGGACTGTAGGGATAAGAGGAATAACGCTTAAACTCCACCACTATACCCTCTCAGAAGTAAGGGTGCAGGGTTTTGGGCCTTGAAAGTAAGGGCTTTGGGCACGTGGTGTTCGGGCCTTCGATTAAGTGGCTCCTAAGACAAACCACTTTAAACAGGAGGCCACCAACACAAACCAGATACAAAAAATATGACCGGGAAAGACCTAGGCGCAATGCTCGCCTGGATTTGCTCCATCTCCTTGCTGTTTTGCTGGAGCTGAGCTTCTGCCCGACATCGCGCCCGCTGCGCAGGGGGGAACTGCGCGGTGGCCTGCCTTCAGTCAGGATCACGCGAATTCGTGTCTAGGGTTTCGGGTTGATACCCCCTGAATGAGTCAAAGCAAGGAAAAAAAGTGGTCTTCACGTATGCAATGAGGCACTCTCGTTCAGCTTTGGCAGCTGCGACGTGATGCTGCAGAAGCTTTAGCGCATCTTCCTGGCTCTTGTCATGGAGCCTTGCACACTTCCGGACACATCGTTGGCAATCTATCGGCTTGCCCTACGGGTCCATGTACTCACAGATGACATGCTTTGGCCTTCAAGTAGTCTAAGTAATCCCTATACAGGTACTTTTGGCCCTAGGCCCAAAGTATGCACTATATGGGCAGATAGGCCCAAAGGGGTTGGATCAAGCTCCTAAAGCCTAAACCCTAAAC